TGATTTCCGCCTCGGAGTAGTTGTGCACGATGTTCTTCACCTGGCGCCGGAGCGCGGAGGTCGTCATGGCTGGAGACTTGGAGGTGGGCAGCCCTCGCCCCCGCTGGAGGTGGAGGGCTGAGGGCCACTGTGGCGAGGTCACGGTCTCGAAGGATGGGTTGCCGTGTTCTTAGCAGAGCAGCTGTGTCCTTGGGTTCCACATGGGGCTAAGGAAGAGAGAGCCTGGAACTCAGGGGCACAGGCCTACCTCAGGGGTCACTCAGCCACTGACCAACTAAATGAGGCCTGGCCAGAGTGTCCCTGCATCCAGGAAAAGCCTTCAGCAGCACACGTTCTTATTTCACTTATAATTCAGCAGGCACTTGTAGCCTTGCATGCTCATCTGCCTGTCTGCACAGTCTCACCACAAAGATGGAAAAGGTGGGGCTCAAAGAATATTAAATGGACCCAGCATGGTGGCTCATGCCTGTAATTCCAGGACTTCAGGAGGCCAAGGCAAGAGGACTGCTTGAGGCCAGGAGATGGAGGCCACAGTGATCCGTGATCGTGCCACTGCACTCCAGCCTGGGCAACAGATCGAGACCCTGTAATATTAAGTGACTTGTCCGAGATCACAGTGCTGCTACGTGGGGGACCGGGATGACCCCAGGAAGCCCCCCTAAGAGGGCACGGCCTCATGGGGGCACACTAACAGTATTCCAGGAATGCCCACTTGCCTTGCTTCTGCTTGGCCACTTCCTCTATTTCTGCAAGATCTAGCTTAAGACCTATCCTTTCCAGCTCCCCAGCTCACTTTTCTCATATTGTTAATTTTTGTAGTTTGATGCATTCAACACCTGTTTCCTAGAGGCCTTTTCTGAGCCAGGCACCATGCCAGGCACAGAACACACGCCTTGGTCCACCCACATTCAGTTGAGAGGGTACAGAAAATCACAGTCCAGTGTGGGAGTGCAGAGCAGCACAGGAAGAGCCAAGCCAGGAAAATCAGAGGAGACTTCCTGGAGGAGGTGGTGGTGGAGCTGAGATCCAAGATCCAAGAGAAGAGTGAGGAGGAGTGAACCAGCAAGTCGGGGAAGGCAGCTCAGAAGAAATGCTGTGAGCTGGGCCAGAAGGCAGGAGAGCAAGGATCATTTGAGGAAAGCTGCCCCTCAGAGATCTGGCCACTGCCACCACCAGTGCCACTCCCATGTATACACGAAAGTGCTGAGGCCAGAGAGGGGATGGGACCTGCCTGTGTCCTATGTCACTTGGGTGGCAGAGCCTTGACTAACATCTAGGTCTCCAGAAGACTAATCCAATGCTTACTGTCAGTGTTACCCAGTTTGGTCATTAATTCATCAGACTGCTTTACTGTCTCAGTCTCACCTTCTGAGCTGAAATGGAAGCTCCCTGAGAGTAGGAATGGTCTGGGTTCTCTAAAGCCCCAAAGCCCTGAACACATGGTGAACCTCTGGTACCCGAGCAGGGAGAGGAGCTGGGCCAGCCCAATTCCCTCCCCACAGCTGCAGGTCCAGGCTAGCTGCTGAATGCAACCCCAGGCCAAGGTCCTCCCAAGGCCCTGTTAGATACCAAAAGAGGAATGCCCTGGCCACTTCCCTTCCTCCCTGGCTCGCACTGGTGTGTGCACACACACACACTAGCTGGGCCTCACTTCACCCGTGAACTGCCCCCACCCACCAAACACCTCTCGGCTCCACTGTCCATCCCAGCCCATGCCCCAGCTGGTCCCCAGGCTGCCAGATGCAGGAATTTAAAGGAGACTCTCCTCCCCCACCCAATTCCACGCTCCTTCCACCTGGCCAGTGCTGGGCTCAGTTCAAAGCGACCCCACAGGCCTTGGCAGGTTTTGTTGGGAGCCCAGAGAATAGGAGCCCCTGGGAGCCAGCGAGGTGGAAGGCCTGGCCCACAGCGCAGCCTACCTTTTGTCTGCTGTCTGTCTTTCCTTCCAGTGGGTGGCGGGCCTTCTGTGGGGATGCCACGGCCACAACTTGTTTAACTCCTGCCCTCCCCCTTGCTAGTGACTCAGACCTGCCTTTACCTCCCCAACCCGTGGTTGGGGGTGGCAGAGTGAAGATGGGAAATAGTATGAACCAAAGCCCGCCCAGCGCACGCCCCTCCCTGCTGGCCGCCCCTATCTGCTGGCCACTGGAACTAGCAGAACCAGTTGGGCACTGACTCCACCAGAGCCCTACCTGGACCTGGCTGCCCTGGCCCTCCTGCCTGGCCCGGGTGGGAGCACCAGCCTCAGTGGGAGGGGACTCTTGGTGTGGGCCCAGCGGCCCTGCCTGGACCTTTCTCCCAGAAGGTGGGCATTCTCTGCACACCCCTGCAGGAGCTGGGGGAAGGGCGGGGTCAGAGACAAAGGGAGGCACCTTGACTTTCCTTCTCCAGAGTTTGAGGGGACAAGGTGGGAGCAAGAGGGGCCAAGGTGAGGCTGCCAGAGCACAGAGAGGGGAGGAGGAAAGGAAGGCGAGAGGGAGCAGCTGGGAGTGCTGCCAGCAGTGTTACAGCAAAGGGTTTTATCGAACACAATATGCCCAGAAATAAAAGGGAGTGAAACAGAAACCCAGTGGCTGATAAGGCAGCGGTGGTGGCGGTAGCAGCGGCAGCTCTGGGCAGCTGGGTATGGAATTACTGCAGTGACCTTGAGCCAGACCCTGTCAGGTGGAGGGAAAGGAACGGAGAAGGCAGGGCCTGAGAGGCCAATTCAGAGATGAGGGAGAGGGCAGAGGAGGAGGCTGGGGGGGATGGGAGCAGGGCCAGCAGGGGTGGGATGGGCACGGAGTATCAGCTGTCTCTACATGCAGGGTCCCAAGGAGAACTGCTTAGTGGGGAGGGGCTGCTCCTCTCAGGACCTGCAGGATGGGGGTGCCTGGAGTGTTTCCTAAAAGTCAGGACCAAAAAATGCAGATCGCTCATCCCCATCGAGGGTTTCAGAGAGATGGAAAGAACCAGATCTGTCCAGTCACACATGCCTGAGTTTGTGCAAAATCTGTGCACCCACCCGCCGGTTGCATCCCCTTCCCATCCTCTGCTAAGGCGGGCTCCAGCCCCTGCCCCCAAATCAAGTCCAGCCTGAGCAGTAGGGAATGACAGTGCCTTATTAACGCTGTAGGGACAGGAGTTGAGCTTGAGCTGTAAGCTTCTGGCCACCCTATCAGCCCTGGAATAGCTGCATCCCGGGGGCATCGGAAGTGCGGGGCGGGGGAGGGGGCGGCCCTGAGGCTAGAGGTGAGCATGAGGGGCTGAGGAAGAGGAAATGCAGAGATGTGCGGAAGGAATCTATGGGGAATGCCACCAAAGATCCCGAGTCCCAGGATGGGATAGGGAGGGGGCCCTGAGTCCCTTTCCAGGCGCTGCAGGGAGGGAGGGGTGGCAGGAAAGAAGCCCTTAGGTCCTCTACAGCTCAGCCTCCTCCCTCGCACCTGGGAAAGAAACTAAGCCCCAAGCCCACTCTTTGCTCCCCACCAACCCCCACCTTCAGGCCGCCACTGCTAGGGAGGGGGTCAGGAAGGAAGCTTACCTCCAGTTCGGGCTCCCTTGGCCCCAGCCCTGGCCTGAGTAGCCTTTGCGGTGACCCTCCGATGTGTGCGGCAGGGGAATGGCACAGCCTCCGGAGCGTCTCCAGAGCCATCCACCATGGACCTTTGTCCCAGAGACCCACCTGCTCCCAAGAGGCGTGGACCCCTCAGAGGGGCAGCAGCAGGGTCCCTGGAATGGGTAGCAGCTCTTCCTGCGTGCGTTTGCCTCCTAGCCAGCGCCTGGCAGCACTCGGAGGAAAGTTGCTCAGCTGGCCCGGCAGGTCTGCCTCAGCAGTAACAGGACACAGGAGGAAGCGCAGGGCAGGTTAACCCCTTCCTGCTGGCCGGGCAGGTGGTGCATTGAGAGGTGGGAGGCCTGCCTCCTGGCTGTCCCCTGGAAGTGCAGATCTGGAGCCAGCGCTGGGGACCCACTGCTTTGAGTTAACTCTTCCCCTGCCTCTTCAGCAGGAAAGAAGGGGGGCTCCAACACCCCCACCACACCCCTCCCCTTCCTCCTCTGGGTCAGGAGGACGTTAAAGGAGAGGGCAGGGCTATTTCCTGGGGCTGGCCCTTTGGTGGAGCCCCTGCCTTCTGGGGGAGGAGGGCATCAGGACTCCAGCACAGCCCCCTCCCTGCCTCTCCCACACGGAGTCAAGAGTCCTGCTCTCTTCATCCTCCTTCTCCTCCTCCTGCGTCTCAACTGGAGGATGCCTGAGGCTCACTTAAGGACACCTACCCACCCAAAAACCAAAGTTGTTCTTCAAACTCTGGGAGCCTGGAGTGCCATTCACATGGGGAGCCCAGCCCCAAATGGTTATGACTGACAGGAGACAATGACGGGTCTGAGTTTGAGCTGACAATACCGTTCTTTCTGAGAGCCATTTCCAGCCTGTTTCCTGTTTCCCTGAGCAAGGGAGGTGGCATGAAGACCAGCAGCTGTTTTTAAGGCGGAAAGATGGCCCAAGGCCAGATGGTCTGAGATGAGGAGGGGGATAAGGCAGCCTAGACCCCGAAGTAGCAAGGTGATGTGGCCTCTAGAGCTGGAGAGGTGCGGTCAGCATGATCTTCAGGGACTGGCTTGGGGCCCTGGGACCCAGCTGAAGAGGGGAGATAGCAGGGAGCCAGGTCCCGTGGGTCTAGTTCTACTCCTCGTCTCACACTTTGTCATACTTGGTGATGACACGTCGGGAAGACCTGGCTCCAGGAAGCATCACCCTAAAAGTGTGGGCCAAGGAAGCCAGAGGCAGAGACTACCAGGGGTGACGCACTGTGTCCCGTCACCCGACTCACTCCTTGTCTTGCTACCCCCTGCCCTTCTGCTCGGCAGCCCACACGTCACCTCCCCAGCTTTGTCTGTCTCTCCTCCTGCTGGAGGGCTCTGGCAGCTGCTGGCAGGAGGGGATCTGAGGGCAGGTGGGACATTGGAGGACCTGGGCCAGGAGCTGACCTAGCCAGGATCCAACATGGAAGACACAGAGGCATAATAGATTTATTTATTAACCCATTTTCCAGAAGATTGCTTGGGCCTGAGTCACCTGCAGAGATGCAAATGCTCTTCGACATTCTTTACAGGGCTGAGCTCATCAGCTAGGACCATCAGGTCGGTCACCAGGGTGTCCAGCAGCCCATGGACCTAGAAGAACAGGACATTACAGGCGGGGTTTGTTCTGTGGGAAGCTCCTATATATCAGCCGTGTCGTGAGAGAACAGCTGGAGAGGGGGAAAAGCCCAAGTTGTTTGTGAAAGAATTTCACAGGTTCAACCAAAGTTCTTGTGAAGGAATTTTTGGTTTTGCAGACTTTTTTTTTTTTTTTTTTTTTTTTTTGAGACAGGATCTCACTATCACGCAGGCTGGAGTCCAGTGGTGTGATCATGGCTCACTGCAGCCTTGACTTCCCAGGCTCAGGTGATTCTCCCACCTCAGCCTCCCAAGTAGCTGGGACTACAGGCATGCACCACCACACCTGGCTAATTTTCTGTATTTTTTGCAGAGATGGGGTTTCACCACATTGTCCAGGCTAGACTTGAACTCCTGGGTTCAAGCAATCCACCTGCATTGGCTTCCCAAAGTGCTGGGATTACAGGTGTGAGCCAGCCTGTTTTTGCAGTTTCATTATTCAAACCAGTCTGGGGAGGTGGCCCTGTACTGGCACCTTTGATACATGGAGGCACTAGAGCTGAGCTGTTAAAGGGGCCTATGGAGTGGGGCCCACTTAGCCGTTTAGGGTAGGCGTGGGCTCAGCTCCAATTCTACTCTGGCCTCCTGAAGACCAATTTTCCTTCCGGTAACATAACAGATTCACATACTGAAAGGTCTCTGGGACTGAGCCCTCCAATGGGGTTGGACCGTACAAGCCCAGGCAAGTTGATTCTTTTTTGTTTTTGAGACAGGGTCTCACTTTGCTGCTCAGGCTGGAGTGTGCAATCACAGATCACTGCAGCCTCGACCTCCCTGGGTTCAGATGAGCCTCCCACATCAGCCTCCTGAGTAGCTGGGACAACAAGTGTGCGCTACCACACCCAGCTATTTTTCTTTTTTTTGTACTTTTTTGTAGAGATGGGATCTCCCTGTGTTGTTTAGGCTGGTGTTGAACTCCTGGGCTCAAGCAATCCACCTGCCTTGGCCTCCCAAAGTGCTGGCATTATAGGCGTGAGCCACCGCTGCCTGGCCAGCAAATTGATTCTCTCTCTTTTTTTTTGGAGATAAGAATCTCATGCTGTCGCCCAGGCTGGAGTGAAGTGGCGTGATCTTGGCTCACTGCAACCTCTACTTCCTGGGTTCAAGTGATTCTTGTGCCTCAGCCCCCCCAAGTAGCTGGGACTACAGATAAGCGCCACCACACCTGGCTAATTTTTTGTACTTTTACTAGAAACAAGATCTCACCACATTGCCCAGGCTGGTCTCGAACTCCTGAGCTCAGGCAATCTGCCCCACCCCAGCATCCCAACATGCTGGGATTACAGGTATGAGCCACCTCACCTGGCCAGCAATTTGATTCTTAATATCAAAGAGCTATGGAAGAGTCGACCTCCAGGGCTCCTCAGAGCCCTTTTAATTACTTTCTAGACCCCAGCAACCATCAGGTATCTTAGTGATGTCACCAGTGGCAAATGAACTTCTGATCAAATGAGATCTGGAGTTAACCACAACACCTGATGTAATCCCACATCCCCAGCTGTCCACATTAGAAGATGGGCGTCGCCATTAGATACACTGATGTATTGAACCTGGCTTTGTGGGCCTCCCCTCCAAAACAAACAGTAACAAAAAAACAAAAAGGAAAACCTGGGTGAATCTCTAAGGACCTGCTACTTAAGAACAGATTAGGATGAAGTCTCTCTAGTCCTTCAAAACCCTTACAATTGATGGAAATGCACCCTACGTGGTGTTCTCCCAAGGAACACATCTGCCAGGATGCACCTATGGGGAGGAAGTGGAAGCAGCAGGAAGAGAAGGGCTTCCTTCCTCTCTGTTCCCCTAGAGTCTGTTCTCCAAAGGGCAGCCAGAGCCACCTTCTAAAGCCTATCAGAACATGTCGATTTTCTTTTTTTTTTGAGACGGAGTCTCACTCTGTCACCCAGGCTGGAGTGCAGTGGCAGGATCTCAGCTCACTGCAACCCCTGCCTTCTGGGTTCAAGCAATTCTTCTGCCTCGGCTGCTCCCTCTGCCTAGAGCACTCTTCACTGGATGTCCACTTGGCCACGTATCCCTCCCTTCAAGTCTTTGTGGGTTGTCCCCTCCTCACTGAGGCCTCTGTGCCTCCCTTCCCAACCTGGTCTATTTTCTCTTTCCCACCGTGCCCATCACCTAACATGCTAGGCGCATTCCTTATTCATAAGGTCTGCCTCACACGAGGATGCCCTTCCTGAAGCAGCTCTGCCTCCACCATGATGGAGTGAGCACTTATTGTGTGCAGACTAAAGGAATGAATGAGGCAGGTGGGAGGCAGGGGAGTGGCTGCTGGGCACTTCCCTTCACCTCAGTGTGCAGCCTCTGGGTGTATTTCTCCATGACCAGGGGGTCTATGGGTTCCTGAGAAGGGAGGATGATGTCAGGGGTAGGGTCTTCCAAGGTCAACCTATCCCGACTTGCAGATTTTATGACTCTCTTGTCGTCCTTTGCCTTGTGCTTCTTGCTGTTGGGACGGTCCTGCTGGGAGAGGGAGACACACAGCTTTCAGGAGCTCCAGAGGTAGGCCCAGGACGTCCTCAACAGCAGCTCACTGGGAGAACCTGAGCACATGCCCACCTCTGCAGCCCTCACCCCTGCAGCCCCCACCCCCACAGCCCCTCCAGTCCCTTCCCCAGCCCCACCCGGCCCAGCCCATGCCCCAGCATGCCTCTTTCCCGGGCAGCTTGGCTCCTTTTTTGTCCTCTTTGTCTTTGATCCCCAGTTGCTTCTTTTCCTGGGCCGCTCCTTTCCGCTCCTCCTTCCCAACTTTCCCGGCAGGCACCTTCACTTCCATGATGGGAAGTGACTTTTGATCTAAGGAAGAAAATGTGGCAGGCCCCCAACCTAGTGAGGAGGCTTGAGGGGAGGTGGAAAGCAAAGAAAGAGTAATAGCCTTGAGCCCTGGCAGGCGCGTGGCTTCATGAAACAGGACTGTGGTGCCTGGGTTCTGGTCTCAGCTCTGCCATGAATGGCCATGGATAAGTCATTTAACTTTGCTGGGATTACTAAACCAATGTGGTCACTAAGGGTAGCTTCTGGGTACCACATCCTGGCAGCTGATAGAAGGGGGGAAAGAACCCACTCCATGGTCTCAACCTAGCAGAGCTTCCACCATGAGTATGACTGGCCCAGGCACTGCTGCCATCCATGCAGAGAGATGGGGAGGGCTACACAGAGGTGTGGTTGGTTGCACAAGATCTGACCTTGCTCTTCGGGCACATTCAAATAGATGGTCTCCTTATCAGGCAGGCCCAGCAGAGCCCTCAGCCACAGGGAATGGCTCACCAGGCTGTCAATCACCTCTCGCCACAGCTGCAAACTAGAGGGCAAGATGTAGTGGAGAAATGCTGTCACTCCTCATTTGTCGTTGAAACTGCAGAGGCTTGGGTCCCTCCTTTCAAAGACCCTGGTGCCAGGAGCTGCCATGGACATGCCACACCCCTGAGCAGCCAGCATCCTCACTGTTCCCCATCAGTGCAAGTGCTCGGACAGGGTTCTGGCTTGCCTTGGGTGGCAGCCAAGAAAAAAATGGCTCAGGACTAGGGTTAGGAGACCTGCATGAACTCAGTCCTACTTCAGAGGGCTGGAGGCCATGGCCAGACTTGGGCCCAGTCCCACTGGAGGGGCTGAACCTTGTGTGAGACTTCCAGCATAAGGCTCCTGGGGCTTGTCCTGAGGGCCTTGAAAAGGACACCACGCCTATACAAGCAAGTTCCAAACAGGCTCTGGGGAGGGTGACAGCAGAGAAGTGAAGCTTTTAATGGAATCTGCCCCCCTCTTCTCTCTGCCCTCTGGAGTTTTCTTTTTTCATTCCTCTGCTCATTGAGAAGGAACAAGGAAAAAAGAAGAAGAAAAAAAAGATAAGGTGTTTGCTCTACTGTGACTGCTCTCCAGTGAGCAGCAGACACTGCAGGGTTCCAGAACATGGAATGTTTGCAGCATGCTCTAGCAACCTGAGCTCAAGGGAAGCTCGAACTCCTGGAGTTCCAGGACTGCCTGCCCAGGACCCCTGTGGATGCCACAGAAGGAAGGTGATGGGGCGGCTCTCCCGGCAGGGCACCTACCACATCTGGTGCAGGAGGTCGGACTGCAGTGGCCTTGGCTTCTGGCACAGCTCCAGGGCTGCTCTGTTGAGCCTCATCAGCGCATCCTCTCTCTGGTTCTCATCAGGGAGCACCATCACTGCCTGGCAAGGTCATGGCACCATTCTGCACCAGGACACCAAGCTCTCTGTGTCCTCTAGTGAAGGGTATGGTGACATGGGGATGAGTGGCAGGGGACCAGGAACCAGCAGGGGATGCAGCCACGAAGAGCTGTCTAGGGTGCCTTGTGCCCTTGGTGGGAGCCAGGGCTGACCTCAGAAATCTGTACCCATGAACCCCTTCTCCAAGATTTGGCAGGGTCAGAGAGTGGGCCCCCTTCCTGGGCACCCCAGACAAAAACAAGTAACGCAGTTGGACATGGTGGCTCACACCTGTAATCCCAGCACTTTGGGGGGTTGAGGCGGATGGATCACCTGAGGTCAGGAGTTCAAGACCAGGCTGACAAACATGGTGAAACCCCATCTCCACTAAAAATACAAAATTGGCCTGGTGTGGTGGCTCACACCTGTAACCTCAGCACTTTGGGAGGCCGAGGTGGGTGGATCACGAGGTCAGGGGTTCAAGACCAGCCTAGCCAACATAGTGAAACCCCATCTCTACTGAAAATACAAAAATTAGCTGGGTGTGGTGGCATGCACCTGTAGTCCCAGCTGCTTGGGGAGGCTGAGGCAGGAGAATTGCTTGAACCCAGGAGGCAGAGGGTGCAGTGAGCCAAGATCACACCACTGTACTCCAGCCTGGGTGATAGAGTGAGACT